GGCTTTAGCTGAAGCCTGGGAGAAAATCGACGGCACGGGACCTCCTCCTCGTGCTTCTCCAGTCACCCCTCCTCGGCGACAACCACCACCGGGCGCAGACGATGAGTTGTTTGTGTTCTATGTCGCCGCCGACGTGCCTCTCCCCGCTCTCGCGTTTGCTCTCGAACTCGAGTCGGCTCGCGGGGCGGGCTTCGCGTTGGCTGACCGGCCGGACTTGTCCCGGCCCGGCTTTGTGACAATTGCGGGGGAGGAGTCTGCCGCTTTGCGGCTGGCCGAACGAGGACTTCCATTCGACGTACTGGGGGCCATCCCGGTACGTGTCCTTCTCTCCAACGGACTGCCTGTGTCCGTGGGTCGTTATGTCTCGCGGGACACCACTTCACTGTGCGACGACTCGCCGGGTCCGGCGGCGCCCCCGAGGCCGCCCCCGCCCGGCCCTGTTGTCAACATTGCCCCACACTGGCCCCCGACTCCGCAGGCCTCTCCTGTGAAGGCCCGGAGACGGCGTCGCCGGCGACCCAAGCGGATCGACGACGACTACCGCCAGTGCTTCAAGTGCCAGGGCTTCTCGCACCTGGCTGCAGACTGTCAGGCACAACAAGCAACGTGTCGAGTCTGCGGGGCAGCCCACCGTTCCTCCGAGTGCACCGCCAAGGCGGCGCCATTGTGTGTCAACTGTGAGGGCCCACACCCTTCGTCATCCCTTCGCTGTCCGCAACGTCCTCGCCCCCCGCCTGGACCGCGGACGGCCCCTCCAGGAGCAGGGCGGTCACGTGCACGGCCAGGACCGCCCCTCCTCTACCACCTCGCCGCTGTGTTGCGCCTCCTGATGGCGGGCTCGCAGCGGCCTTCTCGGGGACCTCGTCGGCCGCCCCGGAAACCCCCGTCTACTGGCCTTGCCCGAAGCCCCACTGGGGCACGGGCGTAAGTGGCCCTCACCGTAGGCCGGTGGTGCGTTCGATTCTCGCGCGCCCCGGCCCACCGCCGCCTCGCGCTTCGCGCGGGCGACCCCTCGGCTGCCCCCTCCAGGCGTCGAGGCAGATATCATGGAGGGTCACGGACTGACGTCCTACCCAAGTAACGGGTGATACAGTTCATGTGAACTTCTGAACGTCTTAACCCTCTTTGAACTTGAACTTGAACTTGAGCCTGGCGCAGGCAGTATCTAGGAGGAAAAAAAAAAAAAAAAGAAGATTACTACTACTACTACTCCTTGGGTCTCGGACGTGGGCGGCTGCCGGTGATTTAACGGCGAATACAGGTAATTTAGACGATTTAACGGGTTTTCTCGTTCGGATCACTAAATCTCCGAGTCTTACATTATGACGGTCCCCTTCTTTAATTTCTTTCAGAAAATTCGAGAGGTGCGTAGGTATCGTTCATATCTTCACACCGAAAAATGGAGGTATTTTGGAAAATCTATGTAAGGGAGGGTGGGGCTACTTGAGCCACTTTTCTTTTCTCCCTCCCCACACCTAAATGGTGAACCCGAGGAAACTCATACAAGGGCCGTGCGAAAGGTCTTTCATTTAGTAACACATTGGTGACCTTGAATATTTTTTATCTGAACGCGTTATTCGGATTTTAGATTTTTTGTAAATTTTGCAGATGGCTCATGGTACCCCACTATAGGGGTACCATGAGCCACCTAGGGGGCACCATGAGCCATCACATTTATAGCTCTAAATGATGTGAATTTGCATAGCTTTTAAATCCAAATGTGTTAAGTTTGACAACCTTAACAGTATACAAGCAAAGAATACTTGAAATCAGCACCAGGCTGCTGATCATGAAAATGCTTTTGTTGCATAGAACTTGAGCAAAATAATATAACTTTTTAACATGAACTTTTTTTTTTGCATACTATATGCTCTTTGGGGGGATTTCGAAATATGAAGTTCAACACAAAATTTGACGTGGAGGGGTAAGAATCAAATATATACCGAGTTTGAGCCGAATCAGGAATTTCCACCAACCCAAGTCTCCTTTAAACAAGATGGCAAAACTTACGAAAGGTGTTCAAGGTTGCATCCAATAGTCTAAAATTTAAATAAAACTGAAAAAGGAAGTTCCTCTAACGTTTTTGTTGAAAAATATCAAGAAAAGTCATGGCTCATGGTACCCCACAAAAACTGGCTCATAGTGCCCCATAGGTAACTCTCTTGATCGGGCGACTCTAGGAGGTACAGAGCACTGTTCAAAAAATAAATCGACACTGGGAAATACTCCTGAATGTCATTAAAATCCAACAGTGAAAAGAGTTCCAGGCTAAATTAAAAAGTGCGCCGTACAAAAAAAAAATTACTGCTCATTGCTTTCACTCAATTTCCTTCAAAGTTGTACCTTCAAAATTCACTACGCCACCATTTACACGTTGTCAACAATAGCGCTATGAGCCTTTCTGAAAAAGTTCGCATGGTGA